TTTTATTTAGTTTTGTATTGATATCAAATAAGTTGGCAATGATGAGATAATAATTTTTTATTAAAAACGATTTAAGTCGATCAAAATATACTTTTTATGTAAGGCCGGACAGTGTTAGACACCTGATACAAATATTATTGACACTATCTGGGTTAAAGTAATCATCTGCAAAAGACTGGACATGAAAATTATCAACATTGTTGTCGAAAGAATATATGAGGAATAGCAGCGGTTCCAATATGGAACATGCCTGAGGAAATTATTGTCAGTGGAGACATTTCTTGGTTGAAAAAAACGTACTGAATTGTTTGATGAAGCTAACTGTCCAAAAATGACAGCAATTAATTGTCAAGTCCTTCGTAATTTGATTTTGCAGTAATAATTTATGATTGATGGCTGTTAAAGGCTTTCGGACTGTCTATAGAGATTAACGTTAGTGCCAGTTTCTTATCTAAGGTACTTAAAATATTGTCTTGCAAATTAAGTAGGGCAGACTATATTTTTTTTTTAAACCGGATTGAGTATTGGGAAATATGGAGTATTTTTCTAGGTAAACGGTTAATTGGAAGTACTATTTTTTCTGAAAATTTTAATGAAATTGGTAACAAACTGATAGGTCTGAGATACTATATTCAGACGGTTTCATTTTTTAGGCATTGGAATAATTAGAGCTGGTTTCCATGTGTTTGGAAAGTATGATGAGGACGATGTGATCAAGAATAACTGGCAAGCAAAGCTGGATCATTAACAGGCATATACCATCAATTCCCTTTGCATCAGATTTTAGGATCCTTATTGCCTGTATTACATCACTTGAACTAATCATATTCAATGAAAAAGATAATTAGAAGTTATTTTTGGAATATAATTCGCAAACTAGTGAATCAACAGGTTTGTAGCAATAAATAGACATAAACTAATCATTAAGTTTGGTAGGGTCATTAAAACTTGCTGGAAGAGTTGGTTTACTACGAAAATATATAGGGTGTTCCTTAATGGTATGCAAATATTTAAGGGTGTGAATCTACATGAAAAATTAATGTTAGTTTGCTTTAACTATGGTCCAAAAATGTTTCCTTGCATAAACTCGGGGTGTTGAAGTTTTAGGAAAAAAAAATGGAAATTAATTAATATTTTGAGAACCACTTCAGATATTTCACTGGTACTTAGTACGTAGTGAAAGTTAATAAAGTTGCATATTTTTCAATGCAAAAATAATTTTCAGCTTTAACAGTGGCGTGCGTACGGGTATTGAGTTCGATATTTGTTACGAAACAAATAGTACGCCAATGGTTTTCTGCCAAATAAAAATTATTTTTGAATTCCCTGTTCAATTTAAAACAAATGATCTATCTTGAATTGTTTTCCTTCGATGCGCCTTTTTGGAGTAAAAAAATAAAAACCGTTCTATTGTCTAACTTGCAAAATTATTATTAACTTAGTTGGAAAAATTAAACACATTAGAGGTAATGAACAACAACAACTGACAACATGAACATAATATTAAAAACAACGAAATCATTACAAAAATAGTTGAAAATGGCCCCCTTTACTTAGTATGCATGCTTCCGCCCTCCTTCTCATGGAATTGCGCACTCGTTGAAATATCCCTAGAGTATTTTTTATTCGATCACAAGCTGCAACTATTCTTTCGCTTAAATCCTCTACAGTGTTAATGGAACTTGTGTATACTGTGTGCACAAAAAGAAATCCAAACTGTTGAGGTCTGGGGACCTTGGTGGTCATCCTTGGGGCCCACCGCGGCCAATTCAGCGATTTGGATAAACAGTTTGTAAATAATTACGAACCGCTACACTGAAATGCGCTGATGCACCACCATACATTTACCACATATTGTTTCTTATTACTAACGGAACATCATCAAGCAGTAAAGGCAACTGTTGTTGAATAAAATTGAGGTAAGTCTGTCCGTCAAGTCGTCCCGGCAAGAAGAATGGGGGGCCAATAAACTTGTTGCCAATAATTCTTGCCCATACGTTACCCCAAAAATTGGTGTTGGAAATGGATTGCGAATTTTGTGTAATTTTTTGATGATACCACTGACAAAAGGTCACACGCCTTGTAAAATCAGTGGGGAGTAATGCCTGTACTCTTAAAATATGGTTAGGATGTAACAAAAAATCCACTAAATTTCTCCAAACAATTTGATGGCAAATATTTAAGTGTCTAGCGGTCTTCCTCGTACTCGTTTCAGGATGTTCTTCGAGTTCGTGCAGCACTGCTTCCTCAATTTCAATTTTTCTCACACTTAGAGGTCTACCGTCAGATGTTCCTTTTCGGACAGAACCAGTTTCAACAAGACGACGATGAATATTAGAAAAGGTTCTACTATCTGGCAAAGCAAGATCGGGATATCTCTGGTGATAAATCCGTCTGGCTTGCTCACCATTACCGTCGGCAAGACCATATGCGTAATGCATTTCCGCCATTTCTGCATTTGAATAATTCACCATTATTAACAAGATTGTAAAAACTAAATAATAAAAAAGATGTCACAGCGAACAGATTTGAATAACAGAGACTTTTCAGATGTCCAAAGCCAGTGACATATTCCGGCGCAACTAGATATTTGTTGCTAAATTGCGTTCTTCAATTATTACATTAATTTTCTCGGACAAGAGAAGTTTTTATTTTTTTACTCAAAAATGGCGCATCAAAGGAAAACAATTAAAGAAAGATCATTTGTTTTAAATTGAACGGAGAATTCAAAAATAATTTTTATTTGGCAAAAAACCATTGGCGTACCATTTTTTTCTTAAAAAATATAGAAGTCAATACCCGTACGCACGCCACAGTTAAAGCTAAAAATTATTTTTGCTTTGAAAAATACGCAACTTTATTAACTTCCACTACATTCTAAATATCAGTGAAATATGTGAAGCGGTTCTGAAGATATTAATTAATTTACATTTTTTTCAGCGAGTTTTTGTAAGGAAACATTTTTGGACCATAGTTTATAAAGCAAACTAACCTTAATTTTTCATCTAGATTCACACCCTTAAACATTCGTATATCATTCAGGAACACCCTGTAGATCAAGTTGTTTCAGAGACTTCCACAATTTTTTTGAATCGTTCTCACTTGCCAAATTTTCAGTGTACCTATGTTTTTTTATCTCTCTATCGAAATCTCATAATACAAATAAAGTAAGAAGTTTTATGCAGTCCTATCAATAGATCTTGAAAGTTCTATAGAACTTACCAAACTAGTTATATGACATCATGAATTTTAAAAGGTCTCCCTAGAAGTATTTAAACCTTAATAAAGCTCATTCATTTCAAATAAAAGCGAGTTATGTTCTGACAGCAGGGTAGAAAAAGTGTGACATACTCAGATTTAAAAAGCTTCATTATCGTTTAAGTATTTCCAGTCGGAAAAATATTTTCCAATTTTCAGTTAGTAGCTAAACAAAACCTTGTTGTCGAAAATATACCTTTTATTCTATTTACATTGTATGTGTAGGACAAATCTTGAAACTGATTTTTGAGTCAGTTAACTTTAACCAATTAAATATACACGTTTGGTTAATCAAATTCCACCATTTTGCATTCAATATGGCGGATGAGGATGTATGTCAAACCAAAGGGCACTATGAGAGAGGCAGAATGAGCCAGGTGTCGTCATTCCAAATTCAATATGATGGCCGCCGTAAAAAAGGCGATATAACATCTCCACAGTAACCTCTATGATATGGATATCTAATGAAAGGGCTTGATGAGCGAAGCACAATAGGTAAAGCGACATCATTTTAAATCCAATAAGGGACAAGTTTTAACTGGCAATGCAAAATGATTATATCATGGAGTTGAAGGATGGCAATGGGAACTCAGTAAACGACGTAAACCTATAGAGTTTGATTCTCAGCACGGATTTATCGAAAACCATTGATTAAAAGAAAAAATGCCGAGACACATCAAAAGATTTGTCAAGGGGGACAACTTAAAAAAAATTTAACGATAAGGGGTATCGAGTAATAACTTGTTTGAAAGGCCTCTCGAAGTCCTATGTTTTGACGTTTTCGATAAAATTAGAAAAATCTTTATTTATCTTAATTTGTTCAGAGAGAAAACAAAAACACACGTGTTATAAGTTTTCAAATGATAGATATTATGTAAGAAGTTTTATAGTGTAATTGATATATTAATACATATATGCATATTAGACAGGAGCTACGAAACCGGTAATTTGACATCAAACATACTAAAAAGTAAGAAGAAAAAACATGTTTGTAAACAAACTTTATTTTAGTCGCTAATAAAGCGAACTAAAAATTTAAAAACAGTTTTTTCCGATTGGAATTATACCTTCTTATACTTCTTAACCTCTTAACGATGATGAAGCTCCTTTTTTTTTTTTTTTTTTTTTTTTTTTATACTCCAACTACCACGAAGGCCTAAGGCCTAAGCACCCATTGGGTACCGTGGGGCTATGGGGGATACATGGGAAAGGGGGGACGCCACACGGACTCTGGCGAGGGAACACGTGTGCATGCAACATGCACACGTTCTGGCTCCGCCTACGAGAACCGCCGGGTGGTACCTCCACGTTCGACAGTCAGAGACCATCTACCACCTACGGACAATCACAACATCCATGGCCAAGAGAAACATTTCTCCTGGGACGGGACTCGAACCCGCACAGCGCACGGCGGCTGATCAGGAGACCGAAGAGTCTACTACTGCGGCCACCGCTGCTGCCTAAAACAAACACACAACATCCATGGCGAAGGCGAGATTCGAACTCGCGGCCCGGCCGGCCGGCTGATCAGTAGCACGACACTCTGACCCACGCGGCCAACCGAGGTCCCAAGTGCTTAAGTTATCAAATAAAAGCGTCTTACATTCTATCAGAAAGAAAAAATGAGTGTCGTATATATTTGACTGCTTTTCTTTGTTTTAATTCATAGATCCAACATGGAAGCAGAAATAAGAAAATCGCATCTTTCCTTGCCGTTTCGTTATCTTTCTGATGTTCCGTACCTGATGTTGCAAAAACTCCAACGTGCCACTAAACAGAGAAAATAGCATTTCCTTCAACTTTTCGTCGATATCTGCAGTGGAGATCAGCTGCTTGAAGATGCAGAAACAGCAAAGCAGTCGCACCTGAGCTTCTATCAGTTTTTTCTCTTTGTTTTCCAACATTTCAATGGTGTTCAAAATTTCATAATGGGTGTTGGTCAGGAGAATCTCGACGTTTGACAGTGAGGAGAGGTTCTTCATTTTCAATTTCTCGACGAAACGTTTTTCGAAAAGCCTGAATTGAGTGTTGAATTGATTCAGCTTTTCCTGTAAGAAATAACGATCAAAATATAAAAATGCTCAAAACTAGTTAGGTATGGTATTGCAGCGGTTTTAAGTTCCCTGAATATGTTCCTAGCTTTCAGCTTTCGATTGAGAAATAGACAATGCTTGATGAAATCATTTTATTGTCGTAAATAAATATTGTGCTTGATCTCAAACATTCCGTTTGAAAAACTCACATACCTCGGTAAATAATGCAAATGTTTGAGTTAAGAAGCGTTTAAAATAAGGCAGAATTAATATTACTAAGACAATGTTAATTAAAAAAAAATAGCGTAGGTTGATTCGGTACTCAGTATTTATCTATTTACAGATGATGACCACACATAAATTCCAAATCTCTCAATGTTTCGGAAGCTTATTTGTTCCGTCTGAGTAAATACGTCGAGAATGGAAGCTAGGATTTTTTAAGTATTGTTCCGGATCTGTTCCAGAAAGGACCTATTTTATTTGCAACAGATCCAGTTTGAGTAAATTTAGTAACAAGGTCCAAAACATACCTATGCGAAGTTATCATCCCCGGATGTCTGGCGTTGAACGTGACGGCAGTTTGCCGAGCACAATTATTTTGGGCACCATAGATTATAAATATTTCCACTATTTCGGCTAGTGTATAAACCATCATTTTGGAAGTAAAATCTGAATCAATATATTAATTTTTACTATCCCTAGATTGCCACAAGGTAAATGACAGCAAACTAAATTCTTTCTTTCCCTTAGCAACAAATAACTAAAGAGGTATAATAATATACAGGGTGATGGGAAAATAGATGCGGAGCCGGTGGGGGGAGATAGTACAAGTCAATCTGAGTAGATTTTACTATAGGAACTACTGTCCGAAAATTAGCCGTTTTCGTATTATACTAATTTTTAAGATTTTATAAAATCAATGTTCTTTATACGTTAACCAAGTAATAAAACTTGAAAATTGGGTATTTCATTTGATTTTTTTTTGGTTTTACAATAAAAATATTCTAAAATACGAAAATTGATACTCAAATGTGCATTATTGACGTTATCTCATGCAGTAAGCTTAAAAATAGTTCGATTATTTAAAAAAAAAACTTCGTTCATCTCAAAAGCTTCAGTTTACTAGAAAAAGTCGCATATAAATTTTTCGTATAAAATAATTAGAAAACATCTACGTTTCATTACCTTTCAAACGAGGTATAAAAATCACAAATCGATTAAGAATTGGCAAAAATATGACTAATATAAGAGGAGGGAGGAAAAAGCAATAAAAATACTACACTTACAAAATCATACCTCAATACAGGATAATTTGTTTGAAACTACATTTTTTATTTTTATAATAAATTTTCAATATATATTTCTAACGCACACACGTGCTCTTCTTATGACAGCTGATTTTACTACCGCCGAATTCCTAACAGAGGCTTGAATTTCTTGTGCTGCATGTATTATCCTGTTTCTGAGGTTTTCTATTGTGGGTACAGGATTTTGATCAGCGTATACTAAAGTTTTCATGCGACCCCAGACAAAAAGTCCATACGTGTGAGATCGGGACTGCGTGCTGGCCATGGGATTGGTCCGCCTCTACCGATTCGTCGATTCGGAAACTGCTCATTTAACCAATTTCTAACACTTAGTCTGAAATGTGCTGGGCACCCGTCATGCTGAAAAATCATTGTCTTGTGTGTAGCGGCACGTCTTCAAGTAATTCGAATAGAACATTTCTTAAGAAATTTTCGTAGGCTTCTCCATTTAAGTTGTCGGGTAGGAAATGTGGTCCTACCAAACAGTTATTTATAATGCCCATCCAGACATTCACACAAAATCGCCTTTGAGATCCTTTTGGTCTCTTCATATGAGGATTTCCCACTGCACGTTCACGCCAATAGTGAGAGTTATTGTAGTTTGTTATGCCGTCTTTATCAAATTTTGACTCGTCGGTCCATAGAATTTTTGTTAAATAATTGCTATCTTCAACATCAGCGTTTAAAATAAAACGACAAAATTGCATGCGCCTCATGGGATCTCCTTCCTCTATGTCGTGCACAGGTGTGTAGTGGTAAGGGTGGAATATGTTTTCATGCAAAACATACCACACTTGCCATTGGGATAATCCAAGCCGTCGAGCAACAGCGCGAGTAGAGATAGTAGGGTCACTTTGGAAAATATTTAATATTTCTTCTTCTTCTTCCACATCATGTCGAGGTCTACCTGCATCATCTGAAATAAAATGAAAAAACAAATAACAACATAGCTAGAGTTAGTTAAATGAATAAACTCTTAATTAAGAAGTTCAATCAACTGTATCAAAACAACTATGTTACAGTATCATCAGTTCAGCCCACATACCTCCAAGACTCTACATATGCCTTACTGAATGACTGATTATGATAAGTTAATAATCATCAATGATGCAAACTTACCTGGATATCTTACGACGGTACCGCGCTCTCGAACCCGATGGAACGTTTGCCTAAATACGCGGTCGTCAGGTAGGCGACGATTAGGAAACATTTCCCCATACTCACGATGAGCTTCTTCAGCATTGCCTTTGGCATCTCCATAGTAGAAAAGGATATCGGCATATTTTTCGAGACTGAACGGCCGCCTCCTTTGTTCATCAGCCATTGTTCATCGATAGGTAGATCAACGAACAATCAAGACACACAGCAGCCAAGTCGTAAGGAATCACAGAAAACAGGGTACAGTCTAGGTCGCCAGACACAGAATCACACACGGAAGTCCAACAAGAGCCAAGTTGTTAGAAATATCAAAACAGCGAGCAAGCAAACACATCCGAACGCAACAAATCGCAACAGCAGATTGAAGCGAGGAAGGAAAGGGGTGACTAGTCTTACTTATCACACTATTCCGATGTTCGCGGCTCTACCTGTTTCTTCCACTCATATCTTTGTCATTTTTAAACCGGTTTGTGACTATGATACCTCATTTGAAAGGTCATGAAAGGTAAAATTATTTTGTACGAAAAATTGGTAGGTGATTCTTTCTAGTAAATTGAGTTTTTGAGATGAACGAAGATTTTTTTTAACAAAAAATGAACTATTTTGAAGCTTACTGCATGAGATAACGTCAATAATGTACATTTGAGTATCAATTTTCGTATTTTAGGATATTTTTATTGTAAAACAAAAAAAAATCAAATGAAATACCCAATTTTCAAGTTTTATGACTTGGTTAACGTATAAAGGACGTTAATTTTATAAAATCTTAAAAATTAGTATAATTCAAAAACGGACAGTTTTCGGTTTGTTATTTGGTTGTTTCCACGACTAATCTTCCGAATTGAAATGAAAAGTGATATTTTGGCGTGTTTTTGATTTCGATCTGAACAAATTAAGATAAATAAAGATTTTTCAAATTTTCTCGAAAACGAATCGACTGATTTAAAAAAATCAAACTACAAAATACAGTACTTCGAAAGAACTTTCGAACAAGCTATTACTTGACTCCCCTTGTCATTTAAAATTTTTAAGGGGATGAATCTAGTAGGCAGAGGGTGAAACGGGTGTAAAGTTGTTTTTGGTTAAAAATTTGTCCCCCTTGACAAATCTTTTTATGTGTCTCGGCGTTTTTTGTTTTAAATAGTTTTTTTTGATAAATTCATGGTGGGAACTTTTTAAATGAACACCCTGTATATTTATGTATGTATATTTTGCACAGAGTGACCCAGAAAGCATAAAAAAGCGAAAAAACAATTTATGAAATATGTGTGGGGACAATTCTTGGAGTAATTTTGGGTCTGAAAACATTCAGATTTGTTGAAATGGGTCCATTTTAATTGATATGCATAAAACGAATCAGAACATTTTTCCTAGCAGGTGCGAAGATACTCCTTAGACTGAAAGTAAATTCTCAAGGAATCTCGTTGGAAATGTTTCAAAGGACTTCTAAAACTTTCAGTAAACTTCAACCTTCCACATGAAGCACAACCATATACTATATTACGCAGCACAAACTGTAAAGCGATTTATCAATATTGAACTCAAATAACTGGTGCCGATAAACCATCCAGCAATAACCAGTGATTGCGCAGGTGATGAATGTAGATACGTAAATAATATGAAACTATATACTAAATATAAACGTACAATATCTGGAATCGAACATGACAATTGGTACAGGCTCTAATTCCAAGATTTATAGAAACCGATTTGTTATGTCAATCGATCAGGCTACAATTTTCAGTTTAACATGTTTCCAAACATACGTGTCTCCTTGTTAACGCAGTATAGTCAAAATAATGTGGATGGAACATGCATTGCTACGCTAACAAATAAACAGTAATTATTCATTTATTCTTTGGATAAATCAAACGTATTATTAACACTCTTTTCTCTTATGTAACTTGTAAAATATCTTCTTTATTCCAGAGATAATCATTATTTTGTTAAACAAGGCTTCATACAAGGAAAATCCAGTAAATCAGTCGTTTAACTAACGTTGTGCTAAAAACATCTGATCTTATTATTAGAAATTCATATAAAGGCCTTTTATAAAATATTGAATACTCACAGTAATGTGTTTTTATAGAAAATACGCAATAAACATTACTTGAACGCTATCGTAAAAATACAGGGTGTAATTTAAATGATGGCTAAAAATACATGATATGATTCCTAAGCTCTAAACTTTTGAGCGACAGCGTGTTAAAATTTAAGAAAAATTCGTTCTAGATATCTTAATAAAATTTTACATTCAGTTTCTAAGAAGTGGCGTCCGTACGGAATGTATACTGGAGATTTAAAAAAAAATTGGTACGTCATTGTTTCTTTAAACATTTTTGAAATTCTCGTTCATTTTGCAATAAATTTGACCTCTTGACTGTTTTCCGTTCGATGCACCGTTTTTTGCGTGATAAGATAAAAACAATTTTCATGCATTTATCCTATAACGAAGTTATTTTGAACTAATAGGCTGAAAGCACGGATTCGCGTTTTGGTCCAGAGAAACAATATGCCCTGCTAACGCTCAGGCTATGATTTGTTTGCATA